TAAGCAGCCAAAGACTCGCAAGTGTTCATAGATAGGCTTTCTTCCAAAAAGTACTTCATACAGTGAAGCTCCTTGTAACACTTTTGAGGGCATTCGGTTTATAACATACGTTGCAGTCAGCACGCATTCTCCCCAAAAGGTTTTAGGAAGGTTGGCTTGGAAACGAAGAGCCCTAGCCGTTTCTAGTAAATGTCGGTGTTTCCGCTCTACCACCCCGTTTTGTTGTGGGGTGTATGGACAAGAAGTTTCTAAAAGAATGCCTTCTTTTGCATAAAAATCATGCATGGTATTGGACACAAATTCACCTCCATTGTCGCATCGTATCCGTTTTATGCGTTTTCCAAATTGGGTTCTGATCATTTTGTAAAAATCTATGAGACATGTGCCTGCCTCACTTTTGTGTTTTAGTAAGAAAGTCCAAACCACTCTACTAAAATCGTCTACGACAGTCAAAAAATAAAAAGCCTTACTTCTTGAAGGGGTTCTATATCTCCCCCATACATCACAATTCACCATGTCAAAACAAGCATTTGTTTTAATTTCACTAATAGGAAACGGTAATCTAGTGTGTTTAGCCTTAAAACAAGCATCACAATTTAAATCATTCTTACAAGCTGGAATAAAATCTAAGCGAGAAACTTTCTTTGGTGAAGGGTGCCTGAGTCTTTTGTGCCAGGTCTCGAAGGTGGTCAAGAGAGCTTTATTAGTCTTCACTACCCCCATGCGATACAAACCTTCTATACGATTACCCGCTCCAATCAAGCGCTTCGTCCCCAATTCCTGCATGACAAAGAAACCCGGAAAGAAAGTTACAGCACAATTAAGTTCATCGGCTAGTTTCCCAACAGAGAGTAAATTATAATTAAAACTTGAACTCCTTTGATATTGATTCCTCCTGGAAGTACATGATCACCCTCACCCAAACAGGAATCTTGTCTCCATTTGGAATGACGACAGGAGTTCCCTTTGGGCTTTGGGTTTTGTTTTTAAGAAAATCACTCCTATGAGTAATGTGTTCGGTGGCACCTGAGTCCACCACCCAACCATCACATGTATCAATTCTACCTGCCATGTTAGCCCTTGGTTGAGATTCGGTTTTAGTTATGCATCCGCTTTCCTTGAAGTGCTTGATAAAGAGATGATATTGTTCATCCGTTAACCCCGGAATTGGACTAGCTATCATCTCAACGCAGCCGGCTTTTGGTATTCCTTTGTCTCGATTTCCACGCCACCATTCAGGGTATCCAATTAGCTTGAAACACCCCTCCTTCACGTGGCCTTCTCTTTGACAGTAACTGCATTTTTCTTTCTTTTCATTCTCGATCTTTGCAGTTTTTGGAGCTGCTTTGTTGACTGCCTGTGTGTTCTGCTTCCCTAGTAACTGTCGTTGCACCTTTGTCTCACCATAGTTGGCCTGGAAAGCTGAAGCTTCTGGTCCTGGTCTCTTTGCTCCACCTGTGATGGCCCTCTGTTGTTCGTCTTCCGCCACCAAGTGGTAAGTGGCTGCAAGTGATGGTGTTGGTTTCATGGCCAAGACCTGAGCCCGAATGACTGAAAACTCGTCATCGAGTCCCATAAGGAATTCATAAGTCCTCTCTTTCTCCCTCACCTGACTCAACTGTTTCCCAATTGCACACTCGCACCCATCGCACACACACCGTGGCATAGGTAGGACAACTTGAATTTCATCCCAAAGAGACTTTAGCTTCGTATAGTAATTGGAAACTGACATACCTCCCTGTCGTGTTACATTGAGTAACTGTTTTAATTCATAAGGCCTTGGTGCTCCTTCATTTTCAAATCGTTCCCCTAGGTCCTTCCAAATTTCAGAAGAGGTATCGGCATACCTTATGCTGGTGCGAATCTCCTTTTCCATTGCAGTCGTTAGCCAACCCTTGACCATGGCATTGGCTCGAACCCAATCCGTGTGTGTTGCCGACTCCTTTTCTGGTTTCTTGATGGTGCCGTCGATCAGTCCCATCTTGTTTTTTGCAAGGAAAAAGTTGGTCATCTCCTGCTTCCACTCGTTATAATTGTTGTCATTCAGAACCTCATTCACCTGCATCTGTTTTGGATAATCAGATGGGTGAATGTAGAATGGCGAATTGACATCAATGGTTTCGCCCTCTGGCTTCTTGCTTCCGTCGCCTTTCTCTCCTGTCATGGTTGCTGAACGATTTTGCTATCCGGTGCGGATAACCTGCTCTGATACCATAAAGAAACTAATAAGAGCCAACTTGGTTATTCTATTGATCAAAAATCACCGTTGCAGGATACAATATGTTCATTATAAAAAATGAAAGGCTAACAAACTAGCTAAACAACCGGCTAAACAAATGGATAGTCTATAATCTAGATAAGAGCAAAAACCATCGGAAAGTATAAGAATCAAAATAAATCCTTTATAATACATATTTTATTTTCTTTCTCCTTAAATCTCACATGAAATGATGAAAGAAAATTTTAGAGAAATAAAGATTTCAAATCCTTTTTATATTACGTTGTCTTGCCAAAAAAATCAACACAAAATATTTGGATTTATTCGCATTGCTTACAAATTATTCCATTTCCCTTGAAGAAAACAATAGGGAAAAAACTCACAACACGATGTTGGATAGGAAGAAACATGCAAGACCTTATAATAATTTTAAATAGGGAAACAATCATTTTTTATTTCTCCAAATGTTAGAATCCTTTAACATTAAGTTGGTTTTTGTTTTTTGTCTGTAGATTGTCTGTGCCACGTAAACATTTTGAAGACTGCAGACTTAAAAAATGTGCATCTTCTTCTTGGCGTAGATATGGACCAGAGTTTTCTAACATCTACTAGCCTTAAAAAACACATATATCTATATTATTATTATTTTAAGTTAGCTTTATTCCAATTTTATTATGATAAACAATTTGGAAAAAAAAGTTACAATACTTCAAGAAAAAAAGGTTCGACGACACAAGTATAACGTTTGTGACAATTTTATATATAAAAAATTAATTACAATAATGGTCGTTGGAACTGTTTATATATATATATATATTGTCTTATATTTTTTGTGTCAAATTTTATAAAACATTATTTAATGCAATATCATTTATTTCTTGGGAAAAATATTTATGATCAATTTTTAATTGATTTAATTGAAATAGTAAAATGAAAATTTTTTATTTTAAAATCGAAGTTTATTTCCATCCATTTTATGTGTTAATTATTTTGATCCATAATTACAATGTTTATGGAGATTTGCAACCAAAACTTGTTGGCTTTTATCAAATATATACATTGATTCGTACAATTTTATTTTAACTTTTTACACAATAATGCATAAAGGTTGATCTCGATTTGTTAATCGTTTATAATAAAGTCATAAAAGTATTGAAAAATCTTTTAAATTTAAAAAAATCAGTTTATTTAAATTTTTGCAGCCGACAGATGTTAAAAAACAAACAATTTTTTTTTTAAGATTGCATACGTTTGATCTACCTTTTCTACTGCAAATGTTGCAAATGTGGTCCAAAACCTGCATACATTTTACTTCAGAAAAAAAAACAACACCTAAAATATCAATAGTTTTTTTCATTGTCTTCCTATTAAAATCTCATTATAAAGAAAGAGAAAACCAAGAAAAACCCTATGTATTATACAATAGGGGTGTTGATCGGGTAATTTTTTCGGGTTTCGGGTAATTTGGATTGGGTAATTCGGGTTTTTCATGTTAAAAAAAATACCCGTTACCCGACCCAAATTAAATTCGGGTTTGGGTAATTCGGGTATCGGGTCGGGTTTAGGTAATTCGGGTATTACCCGAAATATATAATTTTTTTTTTGAATTTTACCTGAAAATAAATTTAATGAAATAAATATATCGTGTTTTATTAGTCTTGTTTATATAAACAAACGAGACATAAACGAAGTTACTCAAGCTTTGAACATTGAGATTTTTAGTCAATAATACCTGAGATATCAAGTAATATTTTAACAACTTAATCTAATCTAATAAGATGTTAAAAAACCAAATACTTAAAGATCTTAATTTAAAAGTTTAAAATGTTTAAGATAATTGTAGCCATAAGTTTTGCCATGTTCTGAAGTTTCGTCAAGATAATGAGTTTGTTAGTTGCAATAAAAACTATAATCTAGAAAAACAGTTAAGTTTTAAAGAACATGATGATATAAACAATTATTTTTAGTATTGCTAGTGTCATATTGTCATAATAAAAGAGATTCACGTTTTACAATAATGATAGTTAGTTTAAGCGTGATCAAATACCTGCTACCGAATACAAGCTCTATGAAAAAAAAAAGAATTTTTAAAATAATTCGGGTAATTCGGGTATACCCGAAACCCAACAAACGTACCCTTTACCCGACCTGAAAAAAAAAATCGGGTTACCCGATTACCCGAAAAAATTTACCCGATACCCGATTTACCCGATACCCGAAAAATCGGGCGGGTAATTCGGGTATCGGGTATTTTCGACAGGGCTATTATACATCAGTGCTTAAAAAAATCTTTATATTAATTTTTTTGTACAACTTAACCATTATTATTTCCAAAACCGTGTATGTTATCTAATTTATCCGGTAACCCTATATATGTTACCTGATCTTATCAGTCTACGTGGAATACACTTCATCTACTTTACCCTGATATCGATCATTATGTAAAACAAAAAAGGGAAAGCTTCGTGGAAGAGGGAAAACTTCTTGAAAGTGGAGGGAAAATTGGTGCTTAATCACATGAAAAAAGGTAATCGATCATTCTATTTTGCTTAATCAGTACGTTGATCCCTTTTTACACTTATTTCTTATTTTTGTTGTTTGCATTATTATTTAAGGAAGCTTTAACCAACTACTATGACTTCAAGTTCAAATGCATTAGTTGAAGTTTATATGAAGGGTTTGAATGGAACCAGATGACGAGTCTGATGCAGAAGAATATGTTGCTTCTTCAATATACAAGACAATATGAAATTCTTTTTTGAATGACTTGATACAAGGAGAAATGAAATTGCATGAAAGATCATTTGATGATGTTGAATTGACCCCTTCAGATGAAGAATTTGACAAAGGAGAGCACAAAGATCAAGAAATTGAGGACCAATCTCATGTAGACAACCGTAGGATACCTTGGAATAAAATGAAACCATACTTAGGGGAAAAATACGAAAGCCTAGAGCAGTCCAAGCTTTGTCTAACAAATTATGCGGTGGCTAATAGATACCAATTGTTGTTTACCAAGTGTGATCGTTCTAGGATATTAGTACGTTGTGGCAAAAAAAACGTGACAATAATAAGTGTCCATTTAGATGTTGGGCGTCTTGGATGAGAAATGAACTAACTTGGCAAGTGAAATCCTAGGAAAAGAAACACATTTGTTCACGAAAATACAGCCTCGAGCCATCGATATCTGAGTTGGATTGCTAACCATTATCTCAATGACCTAATTCGCAAGCCCGGATGAATTAGATAGGTTACACAGTTTTAGAAATAATAATGGTTAAATTGTACAAAAAATTAATATAATAGTTTTTTTAAGCACTCATGTATAATACATAGGGTTTTTCGGTGGTTTTCCCTAAAAATATTAATAATATGATTTTGTTATTTTTTTAGCATTAAATTCATAAACATAAAAATTATAGACCAAAGAGTTTGAAGCTATGACAGGGAGAACAGAAAAAAAAAATGTTGTATTATTAGTTAAATATCATACTTATCAATAAAACAAAAAGAAAGTATAATGAAAATAAAATTTAATCTTACATAGTATTTTTAATTATACAAAATTCAGTTTTAAGACAAATAGAAATTGATTATATTGTGTTACGAAAAGGTTAAAACTTTACATAAACAATTAAAAAGAAAAGAAAATCAAAGCCAAAAACAACGCCTACGCTTTCTGTGTGCTCGTAGTCTCCGTATAGGAACTGAAATCTAGAGGAGAAAAACCAGAATCGGAATCAGAATCGGAGTCGATCAAGATCATCATCTTGACACATTTGCAAATCATAAAAAGGGGAAACCATTTCTTTCTCTTCTTTCTTCTTCACCTTTTCAAACCCCCTTCTCCTGGATTTCACCGAACTTATTCGCTAATTTTGGTAACTAATTCTCTTACATCTTATTCAAATCAACACCATTTTTCATTGATCATCATTACCCTGAACTGTAATTCCCCCTTTATTCACAGCTATCGATTGTGAGTTTTTTCCATATCAAGTTCATACTGACATGGCGGATATTCCAACTTCAGGTTCTTACTTCTTACTCTGTTTTTTCCTTTTTCTTTCACCAATTCATCCATTTCTACTATTACTGTTTACCTCTTTTGATATGTTCTTTTCATGGGTTTTCCGTTTGTTCTAGAAGAAGATTCTATTCTGATACGTGGGTATCTTACATCTTGATAAATTATTCGTTTTTTAGTTCGTTCTTTATTCTTCTTCGAGGTTTCTATTACGTCGTCAAGGTTTAGTATATTCAATTTTGAGTCCCATCGATCTGTTCTTGGCATGTTTTCGTTTATATCTGATTCAGATCCAATTGGTAGTGAAAACTGAAAACGAATTCTAGTTTTCTTGTTTGGATCTCGGAAACTTCTTAATCGCTTTAATGGCGGATTCCTTTAATAACTATACAACTTGAAATTCCCATATTTGATAATGATCAAAATTTATCGCTGATTTTCGGTTAGACAAGAGTTACAAGTAGATGGAATTCACGTGGAAAACCTTAAAGAGGAGGGTTCTTCGCCATAAATGATCATTACTCATTTTCTTGATTTAGTTAGTTTCACAACACCTACCACCTCGTGTACACTCATATTCTTATAAAGATTTCAACAATTTCCTTTTCCTAATGAATCTTGAATCAATTTTCGTGCATTCAGATGATCTGAAAGACTTATCCTTGCATTCAAATGGAGGTCCAGAGACAATCAAACCCAATCCACTTGTCGTATGCTTTGGGGAAATGTTGATTGATTTCGTTCCTTCGATTTCTGGGGTTTCACTTGCAGAAGCACCCGATTTCAAGAAAGCTCCTGGTGGTGCTCCTGCTAATGTCGCTGTTGGTATAGCAAGATTGGGAGGCTCTTCCGCTTTCATAGGCAAGGTACCCTGAAAAAAAAACCCTAAATTTTGATATAAAGATTATGTAATTTAGTTACGTTTCCTAAAAAGTTTCACATTTTTTGGTTTTTTTCAGGTGGGTGATGATGAATTTGGTCACATGTTGGCTGATATTTTGAAGAAAAACAAAGTCGACAACTCTGGGATGCGATTTGACCAAAATGCAAGAACAGCATTGGCTTTTGTTACTCTAAAATCTGATGGCGAGAGGGAATTTATGTTTTTTCGTAATCCGAGTGCCGACATGCTTCTTCGTGAATCGGAACTTGATTTGAATCTTATCAAGCAGGTCAGCAGTTATCTCCTTATTTGTTTACAGGACAAAACAGGACATGACATGACATCTGATACAAAAAATTGTAATTATCTATCCCACTACCCAAAAAGATAGTAGAACAAGGTACAAGTACCGGTACTCACCCGAAAAGATGGAACAAGGTGAGACAGAAATTTGTTTTTTGTGCAAAAGACGTGAATACCCTTTTTATATTTATCATAAAAAATAGTCCTAGAAAATTTTCAATAGTCATATCCTATGTAACAAACACATGGTTCTTTGTGAATCGAAACTTGATTTGAATCTTATCAAGCAGGTCCATTTGTTATACAGGACATGATAGACAGGGACAAGTATTAATCAGACAAAAAAATTATAATTATCTGTTCCATTACCAAAAAATTATAATTATCTGTCCCATTACCAAAAAAGGTGGACCAAGGTACTTAAGTACATGTACTAATAGGTACTTAAGTACATGTACTAATGGACAACACATTGCAATGTTTTGTCCCATCTGAAAGACATTTGAAAAGACATGAATGTCCTCCTTATCTTTATCATAATAGTCTTAATGATTTTTTTCGCACATGAATAATTTTTAATTCAAATATAATTTTGATATTTAGGCGAGTATATTCCACTATGGTTCTATTAGCTTGATAGAGGAGCCATGCAAATCAACACATCTAGTTGCAATGGCAATAGCAAGGAAATCGGGAAGCATCCTATCTTATGATGTGAATTTGAGATTACCATTATGGCCCTCAGAGGATGCGGCTCGACAAGGCATAATGAGCATATGGGATCAAGCAGATATCATCAAGGTACCCTTCCATTTCCAAGGGCATAAAAGTAAAAAAAACATCAAAGTTATATATATATATATATATATATATATATATATATATATATATATTATATATATATATATATATATATATTTTACCGTGTATATGTAGGTAAGTGAGGATGAAATTACGTTTTTGACCGGGGTGTGACGATCCTTACGACGATAACGTGGTGTTGAATAAACTTTTTCATCCAAATCTTAAACTTTTGCTTGTAAGTGAAGGGCCAGATGGGTGTAGATATTATACAAAGGTAAGGTTTTGTTTTTCATTTATTTGTGGGCCCCATTTTTGTTTCTATGACAAATTTAGTCGTATATTTATAGGGGCTAAATAGTAAATACAATTGTTTTGGTAATTTGTGTAGGAATTTAAGGGTAGAGTTCCGAGTGTTAAAGTAAAGCCTGTTGATACTACGGGTGCTGGAGATGCATTTGTTGGGGGAATTTTAAGCAATTTGGCTTTGGATACAAATCTTTATAAGGTATATAATTATAAATTATAAATTATAAATTAGACCTACAATCATATTTTCATGCCATTTGGGACCCACATAATGATTATTAAATCAAGGGCTAATCAGTAAAATGACCTTGCAAAATGACAAACTTTTTTTTTTCATGAAATTTCTTTATTAGTGGTACCCACTAGAAAAATCTTAAAAACGAAAAAAAAAAAAAAGTTCACGATTTCTTTTTCTTGAAAATGACATTGTTTTTTTTAGGGAAATGACATCATTATCACGATAAATGATTGAATTTTTTCCAAAAAAAAGTAAATTCACAATCTTTTTACGAATATTGTTGTGGGTGATAAAGCAATTTTGTAAGAAAAAAATTTCGACCAGAAAAATATTTAAAAAGTAAAAAAAAAATGCACAAAACTTTTTCTTTTCTTCGTGAAAAAGAAATTATGCTCCTTCATTTTCACATAAAGATAAAAATCCGTGATTTTCAAAATGTAGTCATTTATGTGATAAATTTTCAAAATGTGGTAAAAAAAAGGTGATAAGGACTCCCCATTTTTTTGGTCATTTTTGTCATTATCCCTCAAATCAAATATGGCTACAATTTATGCGATACAGAAAACATAATAATATTGCCTTTTATAAACATATAATCGATCCAATTTTGTGTCTGAAATAATTGAAACATTTTTTTTTATTGTAATATAGGACGAGGCAAAACTAAGAGAAGCACTTGTTTTTGCAAACGCATGTGGGGCCCTAACTGTAACAAAGAAAGGAGCCATTCCAGCTATGCCCACAAGAGATGAAGTCCACGAAATATTGAAAAACGAATGATTTGTTTGTGTTTTTTTTGTTATGTTTTTTGTACTTGTTAATAAGATGAGCTCCATTCTTTTTTGGAAGAAAAAAAAGGTTTATTTGAATTGAATCATATACCCTAGTACAATGTACAAGTCTTATCTGCATAGGTAGCAGTTGTAGTTGTACATTGAAGGCGAATAGATGGAGTTTGTATGCCACTTGTCAACATTGTTGGGAAAAAAATGTTGGTTTTTGAAGACCTTTTTTTGGTCCATTTGTAGGGAACTTATAAAAAATGTATGGAATAAGTGTTAGTTAACAATCTCTATGTGTATGTGTATTTGTTTAAATTATGTTTATTGTTTGAAATATTGATTGGAAATTGCGAAAATGAATTCGTGGGTGTGAGAAAAGAGCTTGTAAAGATTATATTGATGTCACTTGTTTGGTTCTTTTTTTTTAGTTGAGAAAAAGCTAAAATTTAAGAAAATCCCCACAATAATGCCAAATGGGTTTCTACATATAAGACATTATTTTTTTGAACTTTTACTCATTTTACATAGATTTTATATAAAATCTCATTCAAACACTTTGTTTTAATATAATATATTTTGCTGTGAAAATAATATTTGAACAATTTTAAAGTACAAAGAACAGTTTCTCGATGCAGGGTGAATTTTGCAATATTTTTTTTTGTTTGGAAGAGTATTTCACAGAACACATTCGTAAATTTTTTTTTCTAAAAAAATATTGTGTTGGGCAGTCGTAGTGCCGATTCCCATTTCTCAGTGAACACTTCGAAATTAATGATTATGTGAGGGACTTTAGGTTAATTTTTTGAAAATTCTTAATAAATTGGGCTAGTTTTTTAATATTATTAGGTGGATGTTTGCTAAAGAAGACTACACCATTTTTTTTGCATTTAGTGAGTTTGATGTCCCACATTTTCTGAAGGTGTAATGTGTCATGTTTTGTATTCCATATGTGAATTTTCAAGTTTCACTTTCACAAAAGAAAGTTTATTATACTAGAAATGTGATATTAGGGTCAAATGATTTAGGGAAAATTGCATATATCCTTGCAAACTTTTAATATTACTTTAATGTCCTTGTAAACTTTAAAATTACAAATATATCAATCCAAAAAACTATAAAATTACATACATGGCAAAATCATAATTTAATTAGAATTATATCAATTTTTATTAAATTATATCTAATATTCAAAATATATATTACTTTACCAAATTGTCATTCCTAATTTAAATTCCAAATTAAATCAAAAGGCAGATACGTATCATATCTTTTAGTTCAATTAAGAGGCCTTCAATATGGTATATTGTTTTCTTCACTACATATCGATCTCCTACCTTTCTTCACTACACATCTAATCTCCATTAGTGTTTACTTTCGCATCTTCTTCATCACAACAGGTAAAATCTATCATCTTCATTGATTAAACTGGAGAGTGACTACAAGCATATAGAAGTGGAAGAAAGCTGATTATGTTTGGTATGATTTTGGTTTTGCACATGTTGGTGAACAATTCGACTACTTTTCTGTCCTTTCTCTGATACCCGTAAGCTGAAATCATTGTGCTCCATGTTATAACATTTCTTTGTGGCATTTCATCGAACACCTGCGTGTAGTATCTATGCTTCCACATTTTTCATACATGTCTATCATTGCAGTTCCTAGAATCATGTCTGGTGAGCGGTATGGTTGTGTTCTTATAAGTTCGTGGCTGAGTTTGAATTTATGGATGGCGCCGAAATTTGCACAAGTGTTTACGATTATGTGAACACTTCGAAATTAATGATTATGTGAGGGGACTTTAGGTTAATTTTTTGAAAATTCTTAAAAATTGGGCTAATTTTTAGAAAACTCTTAATAAATTGGGCTAGTTTTTTTCATATTGTTGGTGGGTGTTTGCTAAAGAAAGAAGACTACACCATTTTTTTTGCATTTAGTGAGTTTGATGTCCACAATTTTCTGAAGGGTGTAAGTGTCATGTTTGTATTCCATATGTGAATTTTCAAGTTTCACTTTCACAAAAGAAAAAGTTTATTATACTAGAAATTGCTTATATTGTCAAATGATTTAGGGAAAATTTAGTATATATCCTTGCAAACTTTTACATATTAATTTAATGTCCTTTTGTAAACTTTAAAATTACAAATATATCAATCCAAA